TATATATATATATATAGATTAAATATATTTGTATGTAAAATATTGCTTTACCTACCTAATTATTAAAAAAGTTTTTCACACGATTTTTTTCACGCTCTACAAAGCCTGTCTTTAACTAACTGTATATAATATAATATTTAGTGACGTAAGATTTCGACGTCATGCGAATACAATGGCTGCGAATACAATGGCTTCGGAAATATCCGACGTTTTGAATGCATCATTTCATCCTTGTTTAATATTGAATGAGTAACAAAGATAAAACAATCAATCAAATACAGGCATCCGAGCGACGTTTTCAAACGTAGCCAATAGCTAGCAGATAAAGTAAAACGCAGTGCATTATAGATAATTCCGAAAAGTGGAACAACACGCGTGAAATCTGAAAGCATAGGTACTTAGTTCGAAAGAGTGGTTTCGTGATCGTCATACTGTAAAGGGTTAAAAGAAATCGAATATACATGAGAACATAAACGACGAATGGGATCAACGCGACATACGGCATTAAAAATACGTGAGAAAGGCGCTTTCGCGTTTAAGGGCACTGAGAGAAATGCGTGAAAAAGTCTCCATAAAGGATTTCCCATAGAAATAGGAACAAATAGGTGAATTTCACGTCGTGCGATGCGGCTGCTACGCGTAATTCGGGACATAAATTGCGAATCTTTGACGCGTTTCCATCGTGATCCAATAGACTTTCCCTATGAAGAAAAAGTTCGCCTTATGCGAGCGCATCAGCAGGTCTCTCTCAAGAATGCATTATATCTCGCCTAGTTAACCGTGATGTACACGGTGTCCTGAAAGTTGTGCGCTTTCTCTTTAGATCATATATACGTGACTGCACTCAGATTAAAAAGTAAAAAAAAAATACATCAAGGTAGGATGTATAAAGATGATCGTCATAATATAACAATAGATAATCGATATATATATATATATATAAAACTGTGCGAATTTATTTGCTTTTATAAGAGTCGCACAAATCGTAAAAATCGCAGGACTATTGAATAGTAGTCATAGATAATGGAATTCGTGCGTGGGATCCCATTCAAGGTTCCTACGACGTCCAATCCACTCGCGAAGTAACGCCCAAACGAAAAGTCATAGTACACGTTATTTCTAATCGATGAATAGATAAGTAGAAGAAAGGAACAAAATCAAGAAATTTCGAAAAAATTAAAGAGCATTTCCTCGCGCGCTTTAGAATCGTTCTATTATTTATTGAATCGATTATAAAGTTGCTGGTAATAAATGTGGATTTGATCCTCTTTACCAAGTCAGCGATTTAAATGATGACATTTGTAAATACGTGACGGTGCTATGCATTTCTTTAAAGACTCTTCCCTAGAGATCGCTGTAACGGGTTCTTGCTATTATTTAAATTGCTATCGTGAGTGTGATTCCCGTCTGCCTCTTCGTGCATGACCGGCCGATGATCTTAACCACTTTGGATTGACTCGATTCACGTCACGCCCTGAAAATTTGACCGACCGAACGTTACGAACGGGCGGACGCGAAGTAAATTACAATTGCTAGAAGTCACGACGGAAGCGTTACAAATCTGAAAGCGTCATCGCGCTGCCAATGCACCGGTTCTACATAGTTTTAGTTATCAAGAAGCAAACAATTTTCAATTATCTTCAGTTGTAATACAAATACTGGAATATTAATTAATTAGAAATTAATTATAGATTAATTAGAAATAAGAATAAAATTGTCAGAAAAGAATCGGCTATTAAGATCGTCACAATTAAGAAATAAATTATTTCTTAATATTTGCTGAATGCTATATACTAAAGTGCAATTTCACGAAATTATCTTTGAACATTAAAAGCTTCTAAACGCAATTCCTGTCCGCAATAAGAATCGGATGTATCTGCAAGGATGAGAACTCCCGTAAATGATTTCGTGCAAATTACAAACGTAATGGATGGTTGCCTGCTGTTCGATATTTTTATCAGCGAAATGCCGTTGGACGCTCGCGCGATTCTCTTTCAAATAGCTAAGCGTTTGTAATTTTGCTGATTACAGAACTGAAGTGCGGTCATCCGGCTGTACCGATGAATGCCAAAGTATCGTTGTCTAATGAATCCTTGACGCCCGGCACCATAGCGAAATATACCTGCGATGCAGGCTACGAACTCTTTGGGTAAGTTTTATATTTTTACGTGCATAATATATTAGAATAATATACTAGAAGAAATTAGAGAAATCATCAATTTATAGTTCCTCGAAAAATTACAACAAGACAATTGCCTTTTTGCAAAAATGGAATTTTTAAATTTATTTCTATAATTTTGTTAAATTTATACTAAATTGTATTTTATAATAAGCTGAATAAATATTAGAATTTATATGAAAATTCTAAAAGAATCTATAGATTTTAATAGAAAAAATACAGTATGTGATTGGAACAACAGCTATAACAATGTTGACTGTTGCAATATCAATTTTATATAGTTACTTATTAGTTACTCGTCATGAATTATTTATGATATATATTATTTTATTTTATGATAATGATTTTACGGAGCTGCGTCCATCGCGACATTCGCAGATAATATTGCTTTCCCGGAAAGAATCTAGATCGAGAGGTGTGCCATTTTATATGTTGTGAATAAATTAGAAAAAAAGCTGGTAACATGTTTATAAAGAGAGAAAGAGAAAGAAATAATATGCAACAGAAAAGAATTAATAAGAATATATACAGAATATTTCTTGGTTCAATCGCCAAATGAACCTAAAATGAATTTAGGATGTAAAAACAAATAAAATTTTTCTCTGTGTGTACGCTTTCGTTTAAAAAATATTGACTTCTTAAGTGATTTTAAAACAATAAAAAGAATAAACCTAGATTATTTCGATATTATTTAATTCTATAGTTCTGTAACTTAGGAGAAGTCAATATCTCTAAAAGCGTTTGCAAGCAAACTTCTTAAAAAAAAATTTTATTTGCTTTGAAATCCAAATTCATATTTTTTTAATGATTTAACTTGGGAATATCCTAGATGAAGAATCATATCTATTTATAGTTCGTTTTTAGAATCTTAGCATAATTGGTAAATTTCCAACTCTTGAGTTCTGGAACATTTCTTTGGAAAAAAGCCAAAAATTTATTTGAAATGCATCTTAAATATAAGATTTCAAGTAATATATCGTATATTTTTACAGTACCTTTACAAACTGTTAATTACAGCTTAATTTATTTGATATAGCGTCAGACTAGTATTCTTCAACGTCAGAGTATTTTTTTGTATGACAATTTTGAGAAATTAGCTATTGATGTTCAAACAATCCGTTGAAGCCTTTTTTATTGATTTAAATTAAATTGCACCGATTTGTTATTTATTCATATAACTTAAAGAAATTCATTATATCGAGAGTAACAAATAAAAATTATTTAGATAACATCATAAATATAATGAAATGATTAATGAAAAATGTCATAAAAAATATTCAATAAATCGAATTAAAGCTAATTCGACGATTCAATAAATGATGACGAAATTTCATCGTCATCTGCTACGCTTCTTCTGTAAAGGATTTGCATTTTATTTTCTTCGCGGTTACCATTCTCTTATAATGTTCTTTAAGATCATATAAAAGGAAAAAATATAAAATTACAATGATTCTCGTTTCTCTGTGCTGCGAAGAAGATGAAAAAATCATTGACAAGCATGACGAGCAAGAAAGAAAACACTTGAGGTGTCAATAACTGTATACTTTTATCATATAAGACTGAAACAAAACGCAGATGACAAGCGAGGGAACTGGCTTTTTGTTACGAAACAAACGCGAAGGAAAATTACTTTCCTGTCAGCGCGTCCATAAGGACGCAACTGAAAATTAGTGGTTGTGTTACGCGTGATCTTAGTGCGTGCATTATGGCGTGTTCTTGGTAGGCGAAATACATGCTGCTAGTCGAGAATGATGATTATCGATAATAAGATAGACCGCTGACTTTCTCCGTTTTCGAACGTTGGTGCGAAGTAATATTTAAGAAAGATCGAAAAGGGACACAGAGATTCCCATTGCTACATTCGTCAGTTCGAAACTCGAGACAATGGTTTACAATAAGAAAGATTCCGGTGGCTACATTCCTTTCTCCGCTCTGAAAAAGGATTTCTTACGTAGATATTTAAATTAACTAGTTCAATTCGGATTTAGTTACTGGAGTTAGGCTCACTAATAAAACGTAATTATATTGCACGCCATGATGCATGACGTTAGTGCATATCTGGCAAATGATCATATGGAACGAATAATTACACGCATGAACGTGTAATTGTAATGTTACCGGAATTTTTCTTAGGCGCAAAGCACACAAAGAAGAGGCACAAAAATTTGTTAGAAATCTACAGAGATTACGGAAATTCAAAACATATTTACATAATTCTTTTGATTGATACAAAAGCCACCTTTTTATCGAGTTTCTCTCTTTTCTCTTTAAAATTCGAACGAGTTCAAATATTGCTATCTTATAACGTCCTTGCATTTCCTTCTCGCAGAGTACGTTATTACATCAATTATGTACAGAAAATTATAAGTAATGTTTTTCGGCTCCAACGGCTCGACAAAAATTTTCCATGGCATAACATGCATAATGGAATTACACCTGTTTATCAATTGTGTAACGTTTGAAGAGAGAGTAATATTCGTGGATCGGTTCCTGTTTCCGATAATATATACGCTCGATATTCATTCCAGTTCAATAACTGTTACTTTCTTTCAGAATTGGTAGTTTGGTGTGCAGTCCACGAGGAAAATGGCAGGGTGACCTACCGTTTTGCGGTGAGTATTCACTTTCTTTTCAATCGATCCTTTCCAATCGAAGCTGAATAATGATATTCTGAGGCATAGTATTTCAATACATATTTTAATGAAATTGGTTAATTTTTAATGCTCATCGTTCGTAATATTAATTTTAATTATATTAATTATATACATCTTTATAATTCGCCCATCATCGCATTCGTTTTCTATCGGTCTCGATGACGGCAATCGACTTTCTCCGTTGAACGAAACGGAATTCATTTTCGTGATATGCCTGGCAGACATGGAGAGGGGTCGTTGAACGAGATTCGTATTTTCGACAGAGAAGACACCATACTGCCTGCCTTAAAATACCAATCAAGTTACTTTCCCTTACTTTATATAAAATGCCTCACTATTGCCTCATTAATTCTCTTATAAGAAAAAATTAACTATAATTTGTATTTTTTGTATTATTTATAATTTAACACAAAATATTTGAATAACACAATTATATATTAAATTAACACTCTATTAAATTAACACGGATAAATGGTAAAATTTCAATTCATACAAAGTTTTAGATTGATTTTTTTTTAGACAAATAAAATTTTTTACTGTGTATAGATAATTTTATAAAAATTTTATCATATAATAGAAAACTGTTTAATCACCAAAATTAAAATATCAATTTGCATTGCATAATTGTTAAAAATAATTATGCCAACAAATTTTTCGAACAAATTGCCCCGAAACATTTCTCGACCAAGAGATAATATAGTTCCGGGATATTTTTTAGAAAAATAATGTATACAATTTTAATTATAAGTTTCTCCGTATTATCCAATATAAATAATATTAGGTTGGTGACAATTCTTGTAAATTGCACGATTACCGTAAAAAATGACTTTGTTCTGACTTCCATGACTTTCCCTATATAAAAAGTATGACCGCAAGACAATACAATTGTCATTGTTCAACGGTAGCGGAACGATCCGCGTTATTTCCGTGTAATAACGCTTTTTATTATGGATCGCCACAAAAATTATTTCTAGAAACAAATATGCGTCGGAAAAAAGATACCGGTATATAATGTGAAACAATAGTGGCGAAATGGACATCTGACGGCTAAGCTAATCATCGAGGATAATTACTGTTATTGTCAAAAGCGTTCTGATATTAACGAGCATATTCATTTTGCCACTTGTTTGAGGATCGTGACTAAACTGTAATTAATAATCGTTACACAAGCGGCATTTCATGAACTCTATAACTATCAAAGAAGCAACATGCAGATATAAAAACTAACAATATAGAAGCTAACTGGAATTGTGATTCTTGTGGTTTGAATTAAGAGATACCGTAATGACGAAACTGCAATAGAATATTGTGCAATAGGTACGAACGTGGGTTTCCGTAAACCGACGAACCAATCAACGACCGTGAGGGGTGGAAACGCGAATCACGGTAATGATGGTGACTTCGGAACGGAACATGATGGGAAAAGATGCACGGAAACTCAGAGCGAACCCAGTCCCTGGTGGAGAGTCGATCTTCTCAAGTCATATTCCGTCAAGGTTGTCCGAGTGACGACGCGAGGCTGTTGCGGTAAATTGTCCGCGTATTATTATATTTATTTTACATTTGAATCGATTAATAGAAACTTCATAAGTAAATTTTTATACAAATTGAGGTTAGGAGATTCAGAATTTCTCAGAGGCAGTACATAATTTCCTTCAAAAACTACATTAATCGCTCTTATTGATGATTAAATTATATTCAAATATATATATATTTGAATATAATTCATTCTGTAAATAAAATCTTTTTTCCGAAACAAAACTATACGAATAAATTCTTAATTTTAACATAGATAAAATTGAATAAAAAATAAAATAATTGAATATTTCAAAGATTCTCTTAAGTTTCTATCGTGCAACTACAAATTGGTTTAAGTCTAATAAGTACAGCCCCAGACAGCACACAATATTTATAAAATATTTATAAATATT